TTCAGCTGAGTCTCACCAGAATAATAGAGTGTGGTACATTCTACTTCTTTCTGAACCTTATTTTCTATACTTATGGGGGTCCTTACACAAACTGACACACAGGGAATGTGGGTCCTGTTCACACAGTGCCTTTGAATTTGCTTGTGCAAAAGCCCTTAGCATGGACATCACATGGACATGATCTGGTAAACAGCAAGAATGAAGGCTTGGGGGAGAGGGTGGGATTCTTTGCCTTATTATGTCTTTAAATACCTTATAATGTGCTATTTAGGTTCCTGGACATAATTCTGCATTAAATAGAATGCAATTAGAAGGACTTACTTGTGCCTTGCTCTGCCTTTCAGGCAAGGACTTGTCCAAGACACCACTTTGATTTTCTGCCACATTGGAAATTCTTCCTTAAAGTTCTGAGGATATTTCTGAGCTGCAGGGTCCTGGTGACAGTCCTGAGGTTTGTGAGGGCTCAAACAGGCTGATCATGGAGGGCTAAAGAAATGCTGTGAAGAATCAATTATTTGCTTCATGTATCCTTGATTTTGCACCCAATAACAATAAGAGTAGGAAATTGTAATTTGCATTGATTTTCTATATATTTATTGTTTTTTGAAGTTTACTCTGCAGAAAAGCATCATTTGATGTCTTATACAATTCTGGATCCTGGCTGTACTCTGTGATCTCTTTGTGTATTTCTTTTGCTATTAATAGTACTTACTGATTTGTATGTAGTAAGTGATTTAGTCAAAACTACTTGGAGGCCAAATTTTCTAGGGACTTCTTGTGGTTTTACAGTATCATTACTAATGGGATGAATTTCAAATACATTCAAATTTGTTTAATATTTAGCAATCTGAAGTCTATCTAAGCATTGCTTCTAGCGTGCCTGCTCTAAATGGTCAGTGTGCATTAGGAAAGGTTTGTATCCATGACATTGGTTCGACAGAAAAGCACCGAAATAAATAAATGCAACGGTAACACTTTGCCAAACTGTGTTCCAAACAAAATCCTTCCCCCCACTTTCATTCACCTCCAATTCTGACTGGCCCCTCCCCTCTCCCCCCTCTTGCCAAGCTTTCATTCCTTCATTTATGTGGTGCTCCGGAGCTGTTGGTTGGAGGAGCTCCACAATGGGGACAGGAGTTGGGACAGAGAGGCTGACAGGAGTAATGGCTTTGCTTTGTACGTCTGTCATCTAATGCTTAACTAATGCAGAATTACTGTCAGCCTCCCGTGGAGCTCACTTTCCTCTCCACCTGAATGCGTAATGACTCCGTGGCAAGGAATTTGAAATAAACACTTAATGGCTGGACATTTAGAAAATTAGGGAAGTAGCCGAATTTTGTCAGGTTATTGTCTCGCCAGGTCTCTCTGCCCCGTGGCAGGTGTGGGACAGGAGACACTGCGAACCCTCACGGCGCAGGTGGTCCCTGGGCACCGGGGCTCAGACCTCGCTGGGATGCAGCGCTGCCTGGGACACCAGCAGCCACTAATGCCTGAGCCTTTCTGCTCCGCTTGGGGCCGGCTTCCCCTGAAGGAGTGCTCTGCTCGCAGGAATCTGTCCCCGGTGCCAAGCCCCTCGCTGGCAGCCGCGTCCCTCAGCAGTGCTGGTGCGTGGGACTTCTCCTGGGCTGCAGAGCACCCTGGAGCCGCCGCGATGCTTCGCCCCAGAGAGCAGAGCAGTCCCTGCTGAGCTCTTGTCGCTCAGTTTGCAAACCCCTCTGGAACCATGTGGGAGGAAATATGTTTTCTAAATGGCAGTCATTACCAGCTAATGGGAATGTTAGCAAACGGGGAGAGCTTGGAGACGCGGGGGTGGTCGAGTGGGGGCCAGCAGGAGGGCTGTGCCACCACAGGGGCTTGGCAGGATGTGGGGGTTTGCTATGGGCAGCCCCAAGACAGCCAGTGCCTCCAAAAATGACCTCTGGACCTGGTGAGCCACAGCTTGGTAGGATGGAGGCAAACCCAGGTGGCATCTCCTTGTTGTCAGGATTATGTTCCCACTCCTCAGTGTCTGTTCCTTCCCACAGAGGGGCCCAATGGTTTATGGGAGCACATGAGTATTTCCATGCTGCTTTCTGACAAAGTGGTCTGGGTTAGCTTTCATCAATTTTGCCTCAACTCTGCTCAGCTCTGTAGTGGTTTGCAGCCTGTCCCAGCGGCCCAGTGACAGCTGAAGCCAGCTGTGCTTCCTAGAGATACTGCTGGGATCAGAGGAGGTTCTTTGCCCAAGGTCCAGTCCTCCTGAGGTCTCTCTGGAATCTGCACCAAAATCCTGGGTTGTGCATTTCTACCTGCCTTGTCTGTCATCAGAGACATTTGGAAAACAGCCTTGACCTCCCTGCTTTGGGCAGGAAGCGTTGATATACACAGAAAAGTTGTGGAGGTGGAAACATTTCCAGCAGTGCTGTTAAAAAAGTTACACATCACCTTCTTCAGTGAACTGAGTATCCTGTTTTCACCTGTGGTGCAATCGCTGTGTTAGATCACAACTGAAGAAAACTGGCTGGGCTGAGATACCTGCTGTGAGTGGGCAGTTGTGAGCTCCTCAGCACAAGGATGGGACCACCCTGCCATGTGGGAAGATGTTTTCTGACCCCAGGGGTCAAATTTAAATTTGTTATTGTTAGGTTTTTTTTTTTTTCCCCTATACTAATTTCAGCTAGCAGAAAACATTCAGGAGAATAATTGGGTTGAAAAAATTTAAATCTACCACAATTTCTCAGTACAACCACCAGGGAAAATACATTGCAAATACAAATATCAAATGAGGTTTTAAAAACAAGCAGTGTCAGAAGTGATTGGTGTTTAGGCTTTGAAATACTGCATGAATATTGTATTTGAAGACTCAAACGTGAGCCAAAAGCACAGTGCAAAGGCTGGGGCTGCTGGGCAGTGTCCTCCTTGGGAGCCCAGCCAGTGTGGCCATGCCCTGCCCTGTGCTGCCACAGGTCACAGGTGCCTTTGATCCATGTATGCTGTGTTATATCCACACTGCCTCTGGAAGGGTATGGCTGTAAGGTGATGTGCAGCCCTGGGGAGGAGATGCCTGAACTGGCTCCAGTTCCCAGCAGTGCCCTGGGGGTCAGGCAGATCTTCCCACTGGCTTGTTAATAACCAGACATAGAGCAAGTCCTCGATGCTGGGATTTAATATGGGCTGTAGTTATTAATGCATCTGAAAAATGGAAACCACAAGTGAGATGCCATCTCCAAGCTGCACTAATGGAAGGATGGTTCCATTTTACTTAGCACAAGCCATTAAAACAGCTTTCAACAAATAGCCTGTGCATAAGGAAATCTAGGAAGCAACTGGTCACTGAACCTTGGTGTTTGTTCACTCACTTGTTTGCTAAGATAATAAAAAATATGCTTCATTAATTAGGATCATTCGTTTAATAAGGACCTACCACTTTTGAAAACATATTTGAAAGCTATTTCTGAAGGCTGTGTCTTTCAAGAATGTGTTGCACATGTTATCTGCCCAGAGTGCCTTGAGGCTGGTACCAGACAGCCTGGTCTGCATACCTGAACTCACACCATTGCTGTAGTGACGAATTGCAAAGCCATTGATTTGTCATGCACTTCTGGTTTCTTTCTCTCCACTGTTCTAATCCAGGCTCTCTGATGTGAGGTGATGTCTCAAGGCTCCTTTGCAGATCATGGCAACTGCTTGCTGTACCCAGACCTGCTAATGTGTCCACAGCAGGGTGAGTACTTTGGGTTGGACTGAGTGCAGTTTGTGTACCTTTATTCCTTGTGCCACACCACTGTTCTTATGGCTGATGCTTAAACTGAGTTTAAAAAATAAACAAAAGCCAAGAGATAAGAATGGGGTTAAGCAAGATTTCTGTGCATTCATAACTGTCCCACAAACTGCTGGAAATCATCATATTTTCCACCCTGTTCCTCAGGTCCTAGGAAATGCTTGGTGACCTGGTAGAACTTTGACATGCAGGTTATTTTTGTCTTCATGCATTTCCAAAGAAGGTAACTCAAATTGCTCTGGGAAAGTGTCCTAGGTCCCAGTGCAGACAAACTTGCATGAAGTTCCCAGGGCCCAACTACTTTGAATTCATGGGTCCAAACCACCAAATTTCTCAGCTTTAGAGCCTTGTGTCCTGTAACCTGCCAGTGCAGCAGAAATAGGAAGTCTTACCCAGCACATTCCTCCGGCCATGAGAGCTGCTTGCTTTTTGCCCTGGAAATCCTCAAAGTACCACAGAAACAGTGTTTTGGGAATCCAAGTTATTGTATCATGTTGATTCCAAATCCAGTTTACCCCCTTAACTGGTAAAGGATGTTTTTTCTTAATTGCAGCTGTTGTGAGCCAGCTTGACAGTCAGGCTGGAGCAGCTCCTTTCCAGGGATTACCATTGGTTGCTGAGATTTTGCCAGTCAAACAGAGCCTTCTGAGGCAGCTACAGCAATGCAGCTGAGACATGCATGTCTGCAGCCAAGATCAGTGTAGCCACAGAGACTCTGGTCCCCAACATTTCTGCATGACTGACTCACTTTGCTGGATAGGACAAGTACACACTTGTTATGTGTTGGTCAGTCATGCCCTGTACCAGATTCTACCATTTCTGAATAAAAGGAAATCGACCTTATGTTTAGACAGTGTCCTTGGAAAAACTTATTTCCACCTCACAGCAACCACAGTGACCCCCTAGGCTTCCACTCTTGGGTCTTCTAAAGCTGTAAAAAATGAAGGAGTGTTTGCTCAGCTCTTCCAGGGCTCCTGCACTTCTGCCAAGAAGTGACAAACATGGTATGCTTATCTAGCCACGTCCAGCTGTCAAATGAATTAATTGGTCACCCCCATCCTTTACAGAGTTTAGATGTCTCCTTCAAACAGCCACTTCCACACTCCATCAATGTGTTCCCCACAGCACCATCACCTGCCTCACAGGCACAGCTTTAATTGTTCTGTTAAATTTGATGCACAGTTTGTAGAATCCATAATCTCTTGTACATGATCCCTTTTGTAGGGGAGGCTCCACACAGGCTCATTCGTGTAGTTCCAGCAGACCTAAAAAGTCAATCTTCACCTCTTCTTGGTACAGCTCCATCTGCAGAAATCAGAGCACAAACGCAGAGTGAGAAAGGGCAGCAACAACAAGAGCAGAAGAAAGCAGCGTGCCTGGGAGAGGGATATGAGGAGTAAAAGAGAGAATTGTCTTTGATGTATTCGTTTCCTCTTATTAGTATCCATCTAGTGGTGCTCAGGCTGAGATAGCTGACCTGTCCAAAAGTTAGTGATCCACACACAATCCACTCCCAATAGTGCAAAGGTACAGACATCACAGAATGAAAATAGCAGAAGTCAAGATGAAGGAGGAAACCACGGGCTGCCAGATATGAGTGGGAATAACCTAAGTTCACCCAAGTGGCAGAGGTACTATCTTAGTTTGTGGAGAGTGAGGGGAAAAAATGTCTTAACAATCTCATTCTCCCACCTATAAGCACATCTCTTCTGTTTTCTATGCTGCCACTGATAAAGACTGCCCATGCTTGAAAGGACCTGGCAGGGTACAAGGTCAACCTTACACAATTTCCTCTAATTGTGTGGGTCTGGCTGACCTCCTTATTCCAGTGCAAGGAGGGATAACGGCAGGCAGAGATGACAAGGGAAAAAGACAGCCAAAACTTTTCCTGTCCCTGTGTCAAGAGATTTCCTACGATCACAGTGTGCAATTTCCATAAAACAGGCTCTGGGTGTGCTGGTGGCTGGCTTCTCCCTCGGGCTGCCAGGGACTGCAGCCTGTTCGCACTGCCCACGCAAAGCACACCACAGGAGGCACAGGGCATTGCACACCCAAATTAGCCCAGCCCACCTGGAGCACATGGCAAGCTTAGGTTTGCCCCACTCTCAGCTTTCTGTTCCTCTGCCAAGGCATTGGGCTGTTCTGCAGAATAGAAAAAGGGGGGAAATACACCTGTGTGCTGTGAGCAAGCCCTGCACTCTGCTGCATAATTGCCTCCTTCAGCTGCAGGTCCTGGACATGCTACATGATCTTTTCTTGATTCAGAGGATGGAGTGTTGCAGAGTGTTTTGCTATTTGCAGAAGATCTGCATCATCTGCATAGGTGAAAATGATAATTCATCCCCTGGGTGACTCACCACCCAGACATTGTGTGATGGCCCCCAGAGCATTGGCCACACCAAATCAAAGGCGAGTGCGTCTCACAGGTCTCCACAGCAGCACTTGTACAGCTCTTCCCAGTGGGTTTCTGTAAGTCTTGCCAGTCCTGGAAGGAGGTGTGCTGGGCATTGGTACTAGCTTAAAAGTTTATTTGAATTGCTCCCTGGTGACATGGCCAGCTTTGTGTTCAGCTCAGTTGGAAAGAGTTGAGAAAAAATTTCACAGAGACAGTAAGTCAATAGGTTTAGCTTATAAGCTCATAGGTATCACTTCATAATAATCTCTTTTGACAAATGGATGTTAGTTCTCCAGAAACTTAGCTCAAGAAAGCAGAAAATGAAAACTTGCTGCAAGTTTTTATTGCCAATGCTTCAGTCCAGTCACAGGGTGACTGCACGGTCTGTCTCCTTTCTCAGCGCTTGTGTTCCTGAGGAAATGAAAATCTAATAGATGGACAGCACTAATATATATCACTGGCTCTTAAAACTATGGGAAATAGTATCACAGGGAATAATTATTCAGAACCACTAAAGAGTTCTGTAAAGAGGTAGCGTGTTTTTAGAAGAGATTTGTCACTGCTAGAAGAAGCTGCAGGGTGCACCCAGTAGCTCTGTGGCTGTGCTGGTCCAGGGCTGGGTTGCTAACAGCAGCAACCTGATAAGACATACTGGGGCAAGGGGCAACATGTCCTTCCCTCCTGCAGCAGGACTGCTGCCAGTGACAGCTGTGGCACCTCCTCAGCTGGCACTTGGTGGCTGAAGGTATCTGGTGCTGGGAGTCCTCTCTATCTGCTACCTGTCCATCAGGTTGCAAATGCACTTTGGAGGATGTAAGGACTATCATCTTAGTTTTCATGTTAATGTCTTGTCATTATGAGAGAAAAGGTAAAACACTGTTGATTGTCAGAGAAGCCATGTGCCTGCAATTTCCATTGACTCTTGTGGGACCTTCAGATGCTCAGTTCATTTGCAGTGGCCCTTCCCAAAACACAGGCTCATTTAAACTGTACATGCTCATGGTTTTCACTGTGTTCTTCTAGATTTTCTGCAGCTCATGGCAGGTGGCCACTTGTGCTGGTGCCTGGAGTTGCTGCTGCTAATGGCTGAACCACACTGCTGACTTCTCCACTGGCATTGCTTAGCAGAGGTGGGGCTGTGTCTGGGGTTTTCCTCACCTCCTTCCAGCTCTTTTTCAGAGGTCTCACCTCACTCCTGCTGAAGGAAACACGATCAATTGAACCAAGAGTGGCTGGCCCTGGACCCGCACTCAGCTGCTCCCTGGGCACTTGCTGCTACCACCCTGCACCACTGGAGCTGAGGAAACCCAGTCTTCTCTGTGGCTGGTGTTCATGCCATCAGTGCTGGCCTCCCAGAGCTGCTGCAGGTGAAATTAATACAGTCCCCCACACAAGGAGTGAGTGTGGCTAAAAAACCCAGGGGCTGTGTCCACCTTCAGCTCCCATGCTCTCCATGCCCCAGCACCATTGTCCTGCACAGAAACCCCAATGAACTGAAATTGTGTGTGTAGGATATTCAGCCTACTGCCCGTGCCTGTAGCCTGTAAGATCTTTGCCTGGCCCTACTGAGGAGATCCCAGGTCAGTTTTGCTGGAGTCATTTCAAAAGCATCCTTTAAATCTGTGCACTGCAATGGCTGTCACAAGCGCTGAGTGAGCAGCCTGGCCGTGCCGGAGCCCTGGCTGGTGACTGCGAGTGGGAGGGTGTAGAAAAGCCCCCGAATGAACAAGGGCACAGGCTGACCCTGGGCTGTCTTGAAAAAGAGCATTGTATCTTCTTTTCTAGCTTTTGTTTTCTGCCAAGACATGTATTGAACAGCCATCTCAAGTCATGTGAGGATGTTAGGATGTACAAAAGAGAAAAAAAATGGGAAGACATTGTTTAATAAATAAAGTTATGGGTTGACATGCCAGCATGGTGATGATACAGCAATTCTGTGTGCCCAAGACACTACATGATCACAGACCCCTTGGGGGAAATATACTAGGGTCAGACCTGCACCCTTCAACACTGCTCCTCTAGCACTTGCAAGCCACCCCAAATAAGCACAATCCCCTGATTTTTACTCCAAAGGCTCAGTGCTCATCTGCTGTGAGCTGCAGCTAATGACTCATGGTCCATGGAGAGCTTTCCAGTTGCGCTGTTAAACCCTTAGATATGCACTTAAATCTTATGTTAACAATAAAATGTGAAAATGTACATATCCAGGTAAAGGCTTCATGGAGAATGGAAACATGAGGCTAAAAAATATCTTGACTATATAAATACTTTGTTTATTAGAAGGGTAATGTTATATATATAATTTACCAAGGAATTTCTAGCTGCCTGTTTTCCTGAGTGTCATGATAATATCTTGGAGTAATTACTAGGTAGACAAACAGACAGATTTAGCCTTAAATGTAACAGAGCTTTTTAAAGTTGGATGTAGTTTGTTACTCCCCATGCTGTGCAATCATACTTGGCTGCCCATCATGTAGGGCTTCCTGAGGTACTGGGATCAGGTGATGGCACTGCACTTTAAAGGTCTATCCATGGTATGGATACTGTTAAATAGTCTCACCTCAGGCTTTGCAGGATGCAGGAGTGTGAAATTGTGGAGAATGGTGGGTATAACTGTATAAGGAAAAAGAAGAGCTGATGTTGTTCTTCTTATGCATACCCAAATATTTCTAATTTTTGTTGATTAAAAACCAGCTTACGCCCAGAAATGTTCAAGATAAGAGCCACCATGCTTTTACATTTTTGGCCAACAAGGATGCACGCTGCAGGAGCCAGTAGCCCATGGCAAATAGAACCTCATTCAGAGACTGCATAAAACTACAGCTGGCTATAAATCACAAAATTTAACCTCACATCCCAACTGTCCTACATTTTCCAGTAGTGCATTATTTTTCAGTCTTACACTTACCATTCTGAAGGTTACCAGAAATTAACATGAAGCCCATTTATCCCGATGTGGTCATTACATTTTCTATGTGTGTGCTGCCTGAAACAGCACATCAGTGATTGCTCTAACCTCTATAACCACAATTCACCATGACATGAAAGTTATGGTGGCACAGAAAGTGATTTTATTTAATACTCAGTGTACCTGAGGACTGAGGCTCGCTCCCTGTTTTGAGGAGGACAAGCCAAGAGTGAAGCAGGGCTTTATGTGGGATGGGGCTCCAGAAGGAGGGACGGATGCTGACACAGTCACCCTTGTCCTACTCTTTAGGCAGGCTGTTGTGCCACAACAGCACCAGGTTTGCTTGATGTAGAAATTACAGATCACACCGGTTTACATTTCTGCCACAGGAAGCATCTGATGCTTTTATTTGGAGTAGCCACTATGGCAACTACTATTTTCTCCAGTTAATTTTAGACTCAAGAAAACCTAATTCCTTGGGGTTGCTCCCGGTGCCGCAGCCTGAGAAAGCGCAGCACCGTGTCGGTGATCTGTTTTCCACTGGGGCTGCCGCGATGTGCTGCTCCACACCGCTCCAAAAGAACTGGGGCTGCTGTAATTAACGTAGCAAAACCTTGCTCCTGGTGCCAGTTAATTCCTTATGTTTATATGGTGAAGAGTGATGAAGAATGGAACTAAAATATTCAATGTTGGAAAAAGGAAAAAAAAAAATAGGCAAAACCAGAAAAATGTTGTGGGGATGAAACCAGCTTCTGTGCACAGAGAAATAGGCTGAATTGGCAGGCCCGAGGTGTGGGGCAGTAGCTGGGAAGGGCTTGGAGAGAGCAAGGTAAGCACTCTGGCTGTGGAGACCTCACATCATCCATTTTCCTTGAAACAAATACAAGCATGGCAAAAATCTTGCAGTTACGTTTGCAGGGTGACGAAGGGCAAGAAATCTGCTGGCTGCAGCAGGACCCCCAACAGTCTCACCTCCCAGTTAGTTAACTGGTGTCTAAGTGAGACCTGCGGCTGTAAAAAGCAGGGAGCAGGAAGGGCTGGTGCTCTTCAAAACAGGTCAGTCTTAAAATACACATTTCACTATCCAGACAAAAGTGAACAATTTGCATATTTTACCTAGAATATTGTAAGTACAGTGCAGCTCCTGCTGCGAGACTTTTGCTGGCTGCTGGTATAAGGTTTCAGGCTGAATATTTCTGGATTTCCACATTCCTCTCCACATGGAGCTTCACCTTTTCAGAATCCCCCAGTAACAGCACTGATGTTTTTACATTTGTATTTAATTCATCAGGATCTTCAGGTCTCAAAACTGGACCTGAAAAAAATTTTAATTGAAGGTTAGTTAATTGCTGTCAGAAGCAACATCTACTGTTTGTGTTTGAGGAACATGAAGACTGGGACTCTGTGAAGCTTAAGCAGGAGAGGCAGCATGGCCACAGTGTCACAGAAAGGTTATCAAGAGAGGAGTAATTGCAGATTTCTCTTTGTGGGGAAAAACCAAGAAGTCAGTTACACTTAAATATGAGAACATGCTTAAGTTAATTTGATTTTCATAATAGATAAAGCATGATGATCATTAACCAAAGCACTTGAGCTCAGAAGAAAGCTCTCTGTGGCCTGAGGAAGGCATACACCAAGACCATTTATGCTCTAGCTTCCCCTGTCCATGGACAGCATCCTCCTCTGGAGCCAGCTGGGCTTTTGAGGGGACTGTGTCTCCCTTCCCTGGGGGATTGGTCCCACCCACATGAATGTTTTCTAATTCTCTTCAGCCCAAATGGGTCACATTAGGGCAGACCAGTATGAAGCCATCTGCCTGTGAGCTGATGCAGGGACCCCAGAGGGGTAACTGGCAGCCATGTGGAGGGGGAGGACGCTGGACATCAGTGTGTTCAGCAGATGATGCCCTAATTCAGTTTCCAAACAGTGTTTTGCATTTAGGTTATGCTGACAGGGAGTACCCTGCAGCTAAGCAGGGAAAAAATCTGCAGATTTGCATGCTTGGGGGTTTGCACCAGTTTCTCTTCAGCCCTGTATAAGCAGTGCAAGTGAAACTGGGCTGCAGGTTCTGCAGGCAGGCAAAGCTCAAACGATCTGCCAGGCCAGCAGAGGTATTGCTGAACCCAGGCATCCCCTGCCTCGTGGGCAGCTGGTACCCACAGCCTGGCTCTGTGCAAATTGTCCTTGTGATGTGCTCCCCACTGATGGGTGCTTGGCTTCCTCACTGCCACAGCCAGCTCGCTTTTCTGGGAAGGAGAGCAGAGCTGCTCTCCTGTGTGCTACTTAGGAGGACCTCCCATGCCCCAGATACATCAAAGTGTATAACGTTATCTCCTCATGGAAACGCTGGGATTCTGCTTCAGGACTTTGCAATGTTGGGGCGGTTTCTCACTGGGAGAGCAGGACCCGTGGGTGCTGGTGATGTGGGCAGTGGCAGCAGGCAGCTGGAGGATGTGGCACCTGCAGGAAGCAGAGACCTGCCACGGGTTTAAATAGGATATCCCTGCCAGGAGCCCTGTGGCACCGGGCACTGGGAGGTCTCCGCTGGTGTTAATCTCACTCGCGTCTTCCTGCTGCGCTCCCTCCAGGGATGTGCTTGTAATGGGGCTGGAGGGTGCCAGCAGTGCATAGGAGTGACAGACAAGCTGTTACATTGTTATATTTTGCTACCTATCATTTTAATGTCACTTTTAATGTATGAATTATACCCCCATTGTGTGTAATTATATTTCTCCTCCCAACCCTGCTCAAGGAACAATGAGAAGATGGAGCTGTTAATATTAAAAACAGCACATCTCTCTCAAAAAAAGTTAGAGGTCACACCTTAATTCCTAGTACATGAGGATAGTTAATCAAAAGATGATGGGACTAGAATGAGTATGGGGACAAAAATATCCTGCACAATTTCTTGTGGAATTTAATTAGAAAGGAAATATTAATAGCATCTGTATGTGCAACTCTGTTTTGCCTTGCAATGTGAGTAGCCTTACCTGAAGCCAGACTGATGAAAAGCCCATTGAACTTCTTTTTCTTTCCTCCTCTTTTGTATTTTTTTCCTTCCTTTAATAAAGGAAAATAATGAGCCAAAATCAATAATAATAATCAATAATAATAATAGCAATAGCAATAAACCCCATCAGGAATCAACTTCCTATCAGCTCTCTTTAGAATTTCTCTTTTAGGTCAAGAGATGATGCTAATCGATGAGGCATTTTGCAAAAGTTTGTGCTCTACTTGTCCCAGTAATGAACCTTCAACCTTTAATTCTCTTAGTAACACATAGTTCCTCAATGGGAAAGTCACTGTGGGGGCCTTCATGTTGAAAAGCCAATTATTTATGCTAACTGGGGGCTTGGTACTGTTTGCCTTTGGTCCCTGGTTGCTTGGGCAGGCCTGTTCCGGGGCCACCCTGACACTGCGGGATGAGCGCTGGCTGCAGATCAGAGCTTCCAGGCCGCTTTCTTCCCAAATGAGGGACTGTGCTCCCAGGGCAGGGACCTCATTCTGCCTTCACATTCACAGAGTATGCCTGCTGGATGGCATGACTGCAGAATGTTTCAGCAGAAATATAGATAGCTCATTATAACAAAGGAGTGGATTTCCTTCCCACTCAAAACAGACTCAGGTTTTTAATACCCTTTTTCATTAATTTTCTCACAAAATGAAAAAAAATTGAATTTAGTCAGTGGTTTGCAACTTGATTTCAATTATGAGATCACAAAGCAGACTCTGTTTTTTAATGAATTAAGAAATTAAGGCTTTGTTAATTGAATTCTCCATGGCATGTAAAATGCTTTGTTCAGATAAAAACTGCAACAAAAATGCGAAGCATTTTCTTATGGTTATTTTGTTTGCTTTCCTTTTGTGGTTGCCACACAGGTGGGCTGGAGGCTGTCTGGGGGCCACAGGCAGAGGATGGCCTAGCTATGCCTGGTGCTGGGGTGCAGGCTTGCAGCTCTGCTGAGTTGTAATGGGAGATGAGAGGTGTGAGGAGGAAGCCAGCACTAAATAGGATAGGTCATCCCTTGTGGTCGTACATCTGTTCCCAAGTGTGCTTCAATGAATGCTGTGTATGAGGCAAACAGTCCATTCTTTGAGTACCTCTTTCTTTTTTTAATTTTTTTTTTTTTTAGTGTTTAGCAATCCTGATGCTAAAGGAGATCAGGCACATAAGCCAACTTAAATTTCATCTTTTGTCCCCAAGGTCTCTGTTGCTGGTGCCAGCGACTGAGTGAAGCCAATCCCACTGTGCCATTTCCTTTTAGTTGGGTCCAGGAACTTGTCCAGTGGTTTCAAAACAACAGAAAATGTGCTCAGGTGTCCCCTAGGACACCTCTGCCCAACACAAATGCTTTAAATTGTCCTTCTGCTTCTTCAGGTCATTGTTGTATTTTCAGAAATACTCCTTAGGAGAATGAATGACCTGCACAGCCCACGGAGCCTTCCTGTGGCAGTGCCCAAAGAGCACAGACCAGACAGCCATATGGAACTGGGCCTCAGTGCAGCAACCACAGGGAGACAAGGTGTTTCTGCTCTCCTGACTCTCACACTGGCATAAACAAAGACCATTGCCAACCAAATCACTTGGCAAAGGCAGTTCCTTGCCCTGACATTTGCCCACTGAGGCTTTATGGCATCACAGGTGGAAAAGAAGCCAAAGTTTTTGCTGAACTGCACCGTAAGGTGACGGTGTTTCAGCAGCAGCTGCCTCCTTAGTGCTGGTGTCAGGAGTCAAGATTCCCAGAGCAGCAGCAGTGGAATAAGCCCCTCTCAGCAGGGATGGCTGGAGTGGGGAGCACGGCAGGCCACACTATTAGCAGATGTCTATTAGGAAGGGGGAGCACTTGGCTGCCTCCAAGCTTGAATTTCTACTTCCCTAGGCAAAAGAGGGTGTTATGCAAGGGACATTTGCATTGACCTTTAAAGACAATCTCTGATAAGCATTCAGACTGTTATTTTGTAGTAGTACCCTGTTTTCCTGAAGATACTTCAGTGTGGGCTTCCAAGGAGAACTGAGATCTTATTTTATATATGGCATATGCAGGATGATCTCTCATCATGTCTGGCAAGGATTTAAAAAGTATATGTGGGAGCAAGTGTCATCTGGGCATGAATGTTTAAACACAGTCCTTCTGGAATAATTTGAGTCCCTGGGCTGAGGGCCTACACTTAGATCACTGACTCAGCTGAGTGATTTTTATGATTACATGGAGCCAGGCAACATGCTAAGGGCTGAGCATCTATGTGAATAATAAATAATTCCACCATTTGCATTCCTCCAGCATGCCTGCTTTTCTAACTAATGGCCCTGTTTACCTTTTGGAAGTGTTGGAAGTCAGTGCTTGGTTCATGTCTCATCAGATGGTGGTTCAAAAGCAGTGAGCACATCAACCTGAGGTGTTGTGCCTGCCATGGGACCACTGTGCTCATACAGACACAGCAGGCTGGTACAGTCACTGGAGAAGGGGATCACAGCTCACTGGAGTGAGCATCCACTGCCAGCACTGCAGCTGAGAGACATTTCTGGGACAAGGAACATATGTTCCCAAAAGATTGTGATAGGATGAACTGGGATATTCTTGTGGTTTCTTGTGCTGCTGTGTCACCACAGGGGAAGTGGAAACCTGGATGGGCCTGGGCATTCTTCCTTTGTGAGACCCTTTATTTCTGGAAGGAAACCAGTGGCTGTAGCACGAGTGGAGAAGAGGATGAGTATCATCTCTGTGCATGTTCAGGCACTGGGATGGCTGGCGACTGTCGAGGATTTCCAGCAACTCTTAGCTCTCAAGCTCGTGCAGGCACTTGGGCTCCAATTATAGTGATATCTTGCTCTCAGTCCAATTAAAATTTCATAATCTCTCCACCAGCTGGGGTGGACAGAGTGTACACCAGGTCAAGAAATATCTTCTAGCTACAGTACTTCTCTGGGAAGTTTTTGGCTCCACAAGGAATAGTACCTATACAGATCTGATGGAGAAGGGCTGTAAAACCGCAGAACTTGCAGCTTCCTTGCAGCCCTTTTTGCAAGCTATTTTATTCTACGTTTGGGGGCAGGAAAATTAGGCTTTGAAATATGAGTTGTAGATAAGGCTGTGAGGAAGCTTAGGATCACAGCCTTAGGTGAAAATAAAACTGTAATACATAAAGCATTAAAAAGGTGAAGTATAATGGCAGCCTCCAAAGACTTGTGAACAGCTGCAAGGCAGTCTGCCTTATTGCTGCGATTTTAACATGAATTATATGACACTAGGAAAGACCTGCTCCTGATCAGAGAAATGGCTACATGGCTGTTTGCTGCAGTACACCAAGGGCTCTATTTTAATCAGAGGTAGCTGCCATTCGGCCACCTTTCTGTTAATGGTATTATTGATTATTCGGAGCTGCTCACAAGCCTCAAAGCACTTTACAGAATTAGGGGAAGCCTCTGGAGCAGAGTTGTTGTTTCTTAGTTTGTTTTTCTTCTGCAGAGCAGTTTCATTGCAGACCAAATCCTGAGCTCTGTAGTTAGCTCCATCTTGACGAGACCTTGCTTAGCCACAGCTTCCGCTGGCTTTGGTGCTCACCCAGCAAAGGCAGTGAGTGGCTCAGACCCCATCCAGTGCAAGTGGCCAGTGCAACCAGTGGCACAAAATGCCTGGAATTTTGTCTAATAATGCCTAAGAATTAAATACATGAATGAATTAATTTTGGTCTTGCAGATGCCCATCTCTGAGCGGAGTGCGGGTCACAATCTGGGAACCGCTTTTGGGCAGAGCCAGGTAGGATGCACTGCTGCAGCCCCATGCAGAACAGGAGGTTTGAGGCATTCCGCCCCGGCATTGCTGGTACACTTGAGCATGTTTTGATTCACCAGCCTCAGTGAACAGAGATTCAACCCCAACAACTGCCCATGTCCCTCCCTAGAGCTTTGAATTGAGAATATGATGTGCTGGGAGATTATTTGTTCTCTGAACTTGTGCTAGAGATGCAGCTAGTGAGGGGCAAGGAGATGGGTAAGCATGACTTTTCATCAAGTAGGAAAAGTTTCAGAGCAGAAGTCGTCGCCTGCTGCGAGCAGCTTCAGGCCTGGCATGACAGCAGCGGTGCTGCTACCATCTGTTGGCGAACAGCAGAAAAGGAGCAACAATAAACCCTCAATAAATCACATCCCAGACGCGCAGGTACGCGTGGCACCATGTTGGCTGCCATCCCTCAGCGAGCACAGGAGGGTGTGCTGTGCTGTAAAGGCCCCTCAGAAAAGTTGGGTTAGAAGCTGCCCTGGGGACAGTGCCGGCTGTGCTGGCACTGGTGAGCAGCAGGTGACACTCAGCCTGGGGCAGAGAGGAAAGCGGGCAGCGGGAACACAGGCAGAGAACTGCAGCAGGCTGGCAAGCAGCGGTGGCCTCCTACCTTGTTTTCCTCCAAAATCCTGTCCCTGGTGGCTCTCCTTCGGGGGAGTGGCAGGGATGGCAATGTCAGGGGGACAGCACAGCTCCTGGGCTGCAGCTTTGCCAAGGCCACCCAGTGTGCTGCGCAGCACAGGCTCTACAGGCACAGCAGGTGTTGGGGCCAGCTAGCCCTGCAGGCTGTCTTCTCCAGGGCACAGCAGCTGTGTGGAGCAGCCCTGGCACGGTGGTGAGTTAATTCTGTATTCCCAGGGCCCTTTAGCAGAATGTCCTGGTGTGGGGGAGCCTGGCAGAGCTGCAAAGAGAGTGGGCTGAGTCACTGCAAACAATGGCTTTAAGAAAGTGATGGTATGTCTTAACATCCAAGAAATGCTTGTAGAGATCTGAACCTGTCCTTGAAGGTGCTGCTAACCCCTGGCAGAAGGGTTATGGCTCTGGAGGTTTATTTTTTGTTTTAGAGGACACTCTATTTATCATTTGAAAGTGCTCTCTAAGATGGCAACCAGCCTTGACCACAGCTCATCTTCCCAGCTCCCTGTGGAGCAGGGCTCCCACAGCTACCACAGAGGTTTTCTGTAAATGTTGTAAAGCTCTTTTTGTATTTTTAATAACAAGGTGGACAATAACTCTATTTACAGGGAAATCTTCCTTTTGCAGGAGTATCGTGT